AGAAACCTTTGAAAATTTTGCTACTAAAATTTTTTGTTGATTGACTCTTTTTTGTGTTTGTTCTCAACTTATTTCCCCAAAATAGAACTCTTAAAAGAAAATTTTAATTATCTAAACCCAAAACACCAGAAAATACTATAAAAAAACTCTTAATTGTTTTTCTTTTTTTTTTACTCTTTCTCTCTTATTTTTCTAATTGATTATTGATTGTTTCTAATTGATCCTAATGGAGTCTTTTTATAGGCCTCTAATCTCAATTACAATAAGAAAAGGATTTTTTTTATTTGAATCTCCTAATCAACTTCAACCTTGGATTTTTAATCTAAATTCACCTCTCAAACAAATTCTCTTTTACAATCTTTTTTCAAGTAATCACTTTCAATTCAACAATTCAATTAAAATTAAACCCTTTTTCAAGTTTCAACAAAACAATTATTTTCTTTTTTTAAATAATAATAATAACTTCAAACTAAATACAACACCAAAAATATATAAAAAAATTCAAAGCTAAATTTCAAATTATAAATTGATTCCGAACTAAATGAGATATCTACAAACACTAAAGTTGTTATACAAGTTAGTTTAATGTTTCTTCTACGGTTTAAAAAAATAGATGAGAAATTTAAAATGTGATTAAAAAATTTAAATTTTTGATATTGTTGTGAAAAAAGTGAGTAATTGAAATGTCTAAAAAAAATACACATAAAATAATAAAATCTTAAAAATATATGGACAATATAATGATTTTATTTCAAATATATTTTTTCATTGTAAAATAACATTTTGAGAAGTTTTTTATTTGAATTTGAAAACAATGTTTTTGAATTGAAAAGTCACATTTTTATTATTTAACACTGAAATTGGATAAAAACAATCTTTAAAAGCAATAACTGCTTTCAGCTTAATTCTAAACTAGGCTTATGTCATAAAACAATTTATAGCTATAAACCTATTTAAATTAAGGACATTAAAGCCAATGAGACCTTAAGTTAATGACAAGAAAAAAAATTTAAAATTTTAAGATTTGAGGTTAAGGTCTTTTTTTTTTATGAATTTAGTTTTTTAGTTAGATAATAGTTTATTACTTGATTTATTTAATGATGTAATAATTAATTAATTATTTTATTTTATAAATATAATATTTACTTATGAGTGTAACTTAAAAAAAAAATTAAAAACATTAAAACATGATAAAATAGTTGAACCTCGATTGCTTTTACTTGTGAGGTTCTTTTTCTTTTGGGCCATCGGTCATAAATTAAGCAAAATGCTATGTGTAATTAAACTTATTCTTGATGTGCTAAAGATCAAGTCCATGTTGACTTTTTTTGTTAAAGGTAGAAATTATCTATTAGCCACTTTAAAATTATAAGTGTTAATATAATAAATATAGTCAATTATAATTAAAGATTATGATATTTTAAAATTAGGATTATCTTGCTATTATAATATTATTGTGACATGATGTTGACATGGATTTTCTTTAATTAGTGAGAATCTCCCTTGTAAATAAGACACTCTTATATATACTTTCACATGTTTAAAAATACAAGAATTGCTTTTCTTTCAGTAAAGGGTATGAACCCAAGTTGTGTTTAAATAAGATAGTTTAATTCTTCAAAAGAAAAATTTTTATGATGCCTTAACCAAAGGACAATTTATATTAGCTTTATGTCATATTTGACTTGTTTTTTTATTAATCTAAGTTAATGAGTTTATAGTGTTTTACTATGAATTTAATAGCACAATTTATGTGCGTATAAATAAATATATATGTGTGTTTATGTGATGTGAAAAAAAAAATATAGATAAAAATAATAAAAAAAATCTCATATTACTTTACTTAAATAAGTTATTTTATTGTATTTAAATAAGTAATTGACTTTTACCTTTTAAGCATACCACCTACAATAATTAATACAATTAATTAATTACAATTTAAAATTATGTGAGATTTATCAAAATTTTATATAATACTAACATTTATAAACGTTATAAGTGATAAACTTCTACATAAATTTTTATTTTGATTGGACACTTATACCTTTATAATAAAAAATTTGTAAGTAATATGCCACATTTACTTTATACCAAATAAGTCATTATCTTTAATTTGTATCCAAATAAATTTTTAATATTTAATTTATACTTAAATAAATTTTTAATATAAAATAATTTTTTATTTGAAATAAAAATTTATATAGATAAAAATAAAAGAATAAGAGTTCATTTCGTTACAACAAAAGTATAGAAAAAAGTGAAATAATTTGATAACATTTTTAGTACTTTAATAGAAATATATTATTATCAACAATGTTTAGGATCCAATATCCCCTCAATAGGGTAATTAATTAATGATTTGAGTAATTATTAAAGTTAACACTGAATTGTAAGTTTGAAATAATAGTTTAAATCGCTTCAAAAGAAAATAATTGTAATGGTCTAAGTCATCATAACTAAATTACATATTAATTTACTTGCCAAAAAAAAAAAACCCCTATATATCAATTTATTGAGTTTTAAGTTCCAAATTAAACTTTAATTTTCTTCTAAAGCCATACTATCTAAAAATTGGAATGCCTGATCAATGACATAATTAAAACATATTCATTACTAACATATCATATAAAGTCAATTTAATATATATTATCATATCATAAGAATAAGAATTATGTATCATGTAGAATAAAACTATTCAAAATGAATAGCTTGAATAAGGTCATTTTTATGGATAGCAATAGGTTGGGATGGAATAAATTTTTGCTCGCTTTGAATTTAATTGACTATATACATATAATATTTAAATTCGATTCAATTTAATTTTTTTATTTTTTTCATAATTGAATCCGATTCGACTTAACATTATATTAAATCGTATCCGATTTAACATTGATCCAACCTTAAATCTTTTTTCTATCATTCAATCCAACTCAATTCGATATCTAATTTAAAAAAAAAAAAAAAGCAATTGTAGTTCCATCTACCAAACTAGTACTATATTTTTAATGGGAACTCTTATTTTGAAGCGCAAAACTATAATTGCATCACCATATCCCAAGATTTAATCGCATATCTCAGTGCATCTTTCCTCACATAAACCAAATAAGTGTATAAGTACATAATACTGGTAATAGTAATTTTTAATATTAAAACTGTTTGGCAGAGCTGTGATGGATATTGGATAGGGATTCTTCTTGCAGTATTAATTTTTTACCATACCTTTAAAGGGGCCTAATTAGAACAGCTAAAGGAATGTGTGGATGGACAAGTCGGTTTAGTGAAAGATGTTTTTCATTGTAATGTATAAGAATATAATCGGGTCAATTTTAATTTATATAATATTATTGATATGTATGTTTGAATTTGATTTGATTCAAAAATTTAATACACAAAATTTGATTTGAATTTGATCAAATTTATTTTGTTTAAATAAGATAAATTGAGTCTTTTTTATTTATATTAATTTATTTGAGTAGGTAAATTTAATTAAATTCAATAAAATTATAAATATTTATTATTTATTATTTATTTATATATTAAAAATAAAAAATTAAATAAATTCTATTGTTTAGCAAACTTTTTGAGTCCAACATTAAAACATTTAAATTCAAATTAATTTATTATTTAAAGAAAATTTATCAAATATATTAACAATCAAATTTTTTAATTTTACAAAAGAAATTAAAATGATAATATATAATTTTTAATATATATTTAAGAAAATAAAATAAGTATTAATCATTTTAATTTTATTTATAAAATTAAAAAATTTATCATTAATACAGTAAATAATTTTTTTACTTAAATAATTCAAACTCGAGTTTACCTTTGTTATAAATGTACAAATTTAAACTACGCAGGAATATCTTGATTCCTTTAGATAGTTGGCATTGCACTGCTTCAAAATTTTTATTGGATTTTTAACTGTAACGTCAATTAAAAAAAAAACCTTAAACACACGCGCTAAAGAGAGGAGAGTGAAGAAGTAAGAGAGGGTCATAAATACGAGGTACAGCATAAGCAGGCGATTGGTGGATGGTAGAACGAAAGGGGCAAAGGTGGCCCTCTTCCCGTACTCTTGGATTGGACTTTTCTGGAAAGTTTTTCCTTTTCCTAACATTATTCTCATTTCCTTTTCTGATACCCAAACACTCCCTTCATCTCTTCACCCTTTCTAGTATTTCTCAACCTCAATTACCCAGAACAACTTGACCCTTTTGCCTCCCCCACCCATTTTACCCTTCCAATCAATTTACGGCCCCCATATTCCTTTTGGTAAAAAGTAAAAACAATACAATAAAGAAAAAAAGATTGTTTTAGTAGGAAGTGACGTGAGTGCGTGGATTATGTGGTAGCTAATTCTGGTAATTGAGTAATTAGCATTGTTTTAAGTCCTCCCGCTGTCTGTTTCCATTAGTGGGTAATTTATAGAGACCGAAGAGAGAGAAAAAAAAAGAAGAGGAATGCTTTTCGATTTGGTTAACGTGGGAAAGTTGATTAAAGAAAGGGAAAGAGATAGCTCTGTCTTGCTATTCCCATTTCCATCTCATCTTTAATTTTACTACTATGATTTTTACGATATTGGTTCACTTGAACCATCGTTAACAAATTACAAAAACAATACTATGATTTAAAAAAAATAGAATTTATATTTTTAAATAAAAAATAAAATAGTAAAGTTTTTTTTTTTATGTACATATGTAATTTTAAAAGCAAAAAGACTTGGAAAGAATGAAAAAGAGAGAAAGTACATGTCTGTGTCCATTTTTTTAACACAAATAATATATAGAGATAGATGAAATTTATTTAATTTTTCATAATTGAAATAAAAACCTACCAACAAGAAAGAAAGATTTATATTTAATTTAATATCATATATAAATATTATATATTATCAATAAATTATATAATAATAAAATTAATTTTTTTATAAAATATCATTCAATGATAATGCATAATATCTAAACACATATAATGCTTCAACTATAAACTTAAACAAAGAAACAAAAAAAGCACAAAAAAAATTTTAAAAAAAAGCAAGTGGCAAGAGAGAGAGAGAATACTATTAAGGGAGATTGTGGATGGTTTTTGCTATAAGTTTTAACTCAAACTGGCCTCGTCTATGCTGTATTGGGCAGTCAGGTTTCTACAAGATCTTCTTCTAGCTTCTCTAACCTCTCCCTCCCCTCTTTGCTTCCTTCCTTGCTAGCTATACTATCTTTTAGCTAAGTCACGACTCTCCTAGGTTTTCTTTTTCTTTTTCGTTTCTTTCCCAAAACCTCCTTGTTTCAATATTACTCAACCCCTTCACTCGTTTATTCATTTTAGCTTTTATATATACAAAGAGAAAAGGAGGGTTTTTAGCTCTCTCTCTCTCTCTCTCTCTCTCTCTCTCTCAGAATTCTTTGCCTTTTTTATTTTATTTTGAGAGAAGATGGTGATCATGATTTTCTAATTTTTGTCCCTTGAAATATATAATTTTTTTGCATCAATATTACAAGCTGAGAAAGTTGAGAAAAGAGAGGGAAAAATGTGGGATCTTAATGACTCTCCTGATCAGCTAAGAGACGATGAATCCGAGGGGTGTTCATCACAGAAAACTTCCATAGATGGAGATGAAGATAAGGGCAAACGGGTCGGATCCCTGTCAAATTCAAGCTCTTCAGCTGTGGTCATCGAGGATGGATCGGAAGAAGAAGACGGAGAGAGAGGTAAAGCAACTTTAAAGAAGAGAAGCAGCAAGATTTTTGGGTTCTCAGTGCCTCATGAAGAAAAGTCCATGGAGAGTGACCCGGCTCCTGTGACCCGGCAGTTTTTCCCTCTTGATCAAGACCAGGAAATGGGGACCTCTTCCGGCGGAAGTGGAACAGGTTTCCCTCGGGCTCACTGGGTTGGTATCAAATTCTGTCAATCGGAGCCTCTCGTCCCTGGTAAATCTGTTGAAGTTTCACAGCCGATGAAGAAAAGCAGGAGAGGACCCAGGTCAAGAAGCTCTCAGTATCGAGGAGTTACTTTTTATAGAAGAACCGGCAGATGGGAGTCTCATATTTGGTCAGTTTGATTTCTATTTCTTTCTCAGTACATTACAACAAAGCCTTGAATTTTCTTTTTGTTTTTTACTATATTTGAACTTTTTTACCTTCTGCTCGAGCCGATCAGAATTTAAGGTGTTTTGGGTTTGTCATTTGACGTACAGGGATTGTGGAAAACAAGTTTATTTAGGTATGAATGTCCTTTTTTCCCATCAGTTTTACATCCTCTTTTCTTTTTTTTTTCTATCATTGATTTTTCATAAAAATTTTGTATTTGCATTTTAATATTTCTGATGTGGATGAGATGGCCCTTTTTTTCTTTCTTTCTTGGCTGTGATTATATATAGGTGGATTTGACACAGCACTTGCAGCTGCTCGGTGAGCTCTCATCTCAAGTCTTAACCTCTTTTTTTTTTCCTATTTCCCAAAGAAAAAAATGGCAAAGGTTTGACAAAGTTTCCTTTATTTCTGGCAGTGCATATGATAGGGCAGCAATCAAGTTCCGGGGAGTTGAAGCAGATATAAATTTCAGTATTGAAGATTATGAGGAAGACTTGAAACAGGTGAGAGTTGAGAGAGAAAGAGAAAGAGAGAGAGGGGGGGAAGATGAAAGAATTGCATAGTTTATCTTATCTTGAATAGTTCTGTCTTATCTTGTACAGTTTTTTTTTTTTTCCTGGCTTTATATTTTGTTGCTATAGAAAATCATGGAAATCAAATAGTTTACAAAGGGGAAGATTCTTTTTGTTGTATTACAGATGAGTAACCTAACCAAGGAAGAATTTGTGCATGTACTTCGCCGACAAAGCACCGGATTTCCTAGAGGAAGCTCCAAATATAGAGGAGTAACCTTGCACAAGTGTGGGAGATGGGAAGCTAGAATGGGCCAATTTTTAGGCAAAAAGTAACAGTTTTTTTTAATCCTATTCATAGCAAATCCATTTACTAACTCTCGACCGTACCATTTTCTTGCTTCTTCTGGTCTGTCTTCAATGTTCATTTCTTTATTGAGTAGTTGAATTTTGTTTCTACAGATACGTTTATTTAGGCTTGTTTGACACCGAGATTGAAGCAGCGAGGTTTGTGCTTCACCTTTTTTTTTTCTTTTAATTTAGATTCTTAAATTAAAAAGTAAGAGTATGGTCTTAAGATAAGGCAGTAAAAGAAAATTTTGAAGCAAGTCTGTTTGGATTTGGTGGGGTTTTGAATTCTCTGGTCCCTTATCGTAGGGCTTATGACAGAGCTGCAATTAAGTGCAATGGCAAAGATGCTGTTACTAATTTTGATCCCAGCATATACGACAATGAGCTTAATTCTGGTGGTAAGTAAATTTGCCAATATGGGATTCTCTTTAAATTTCTTTTCCAATCATTATTCATTATCCCTTTGAAGATTTATATCCTAAATTTTTTGTGCACGCTTATTGTTTAGAAACTTCAGGTAATGCGGGAGATCACAATCTTGACTTGAGCTTGGGGAATTCAACTTCAAAGCAAAACAATCTAGAATTTTTTGCTGATAGGCAAAATGCGACGGGTGATCAGCATAGTCTGCCACCTGAAGCTGATTGGCGAAATCGGGGAATTAGTTCTAAGGTTGGTATAATTTCACATTATAATTAAAAAAGAAATTAATCTGACTTTTGTAGTGATTGATTTCAATTTTTTTGGATTGTCTACTAGCTAAATCTGCAGCAGGAACCATGTGGAAGTGATGATGCTCATCACCGAAGATCGGATGGATATGGCGAGGCGGAAACAATGCAGCTGTTGAGCCAAACCCACATTCAATCACCAGCCTCAATTAAGTCTAATGAAGGGCATAGATATGGACAGTTCAGGAGACCTGGAGGGAACAATATGTTTCACATTAATCCTCCACACATTAATCCATCAACTTATCAGGTTTGTATTTATATTTAGGCTGCAAATAATTTGTAATTGCTTGATTGGGGATTTATATATACCAGGAAAGCTGCAACTAACTAAATTACTTTCTTACATTTTGTAAAATTTAGATTCATTTCCCAAGAAGCAGCAATGGAGGTCGATTTGGGAGTGATCTTTCACTGTCTACTAGTGATCAACAGTGGCAATCAGGTCCTCACCAGTTGTTTGGAAATTCTGCAGCATCATCAGGATTCCCATCGCCGATTAGACCTTCCCAAACTTGGCTGCAGAAAAATGGGTTCCACTCACTCATGAGACCCTCCTAACCCATGTAAAAGTAGCCATAAAATCTCTTTCTTACCTTGTTGGTTTTGGAAGCATGTAAAGTTCAATGCTTATCCTTTTATAATTTTCTTCCCCTCCCTCTACAACTTTCTTAAGAGAGCCAAAAGGGAAAAAAAAATCAACAAGAAATTATTGGAACCAGAAAAGAAAAGAAAAAGAAGGAAAAGAAAATTCCATCTCTTGAAGTTGTTGGGCATGGGTGAAACTAACAAACCAACGAAAACGTTGAACTAGACATAAATATTCTGAGTTCTGACTAAAGCTGTTGATCTCTTCTATTGTTTTTAATACATTGCTTTACCGCCCTAAGCAGTCGTATTGGTATTATTGTTTTGCCCCATTTTCTATTACTGCCATACAAATATTTGACTTTATCATCATTTATAGTGGTTGGTGCTTCTCTTTTAGTACAATATACACAATACTAGCAGCATAATTTTTCCATGTCTTTGGCCATGAATAAATGAAAAACTCAAGTTTCCCTGAAGGAGTAGCGCTGCATAATTTCTTACCCAAGGAAAATGTAGATAAAAATTTTGAATCTGAAGGGAAAAAGAAAGAGATAAAATGCATGTATGACAAAATAGAGAGATTGATTTGATCTTGGAAATATCACTGGATGGTGATGAATAGTCGCCATCATTTGTGTCCTTTGAATCAGTTCTCTCGAACCAAAAGCAGTCAGACACGGCTATAATGACGAGAGAGACTTATCATCTTAACCCCTCCATTGCTTTAAAAAGGACATTTGTAAGGAAAATAAACGGAGAGAAGAGAGCATGAGGAAGGGTATATGGGTAGGGTAAGTCTTCACTTTGGGTTTAACCCACCCCTGTCAGTTTACGAGGAAAATGACTTTAAAAGAGTAAAGCCGAGTACGGGTTCAATATCTTGGGTTTTACCCCATACATGCATACATACAGAAGATAAAAAGAATAGAAAATATAGATGAAAATTCATTGGCTAAGGCCTAAGTGGTTTCGCACATCTCCAGCGGATTTTTAAGCTCTGTGATAAAACCTGCGAGAGGTGTACGAGGAAAAAAGGGGGTGTCATTGGTTTTAAATATAGTTGAAAATTCCCCACCACCCATCGAACTTTATTTTGATATCAGTCCAATTGTAAATAAATTAATGTCCTTTTGCACTAAGATAAAGGTACCAAATTGAATAAAATAGGAATTGTGATTTCGTCATCTGGGTCGTCATTGTTCAATTTTTTTATCAGTTGCATATAGGGCAGAGGGTTTTTTGAAAGAGGAAATTTTTCTATAAGGAGAAAGGTCAAGGCCACCTTCTTCTGCCATCATCATCTTGAAGAATTAAATATGCAGAGAATTTAAAAAAAAATATCTCTGCTTATGGAGGGATTCATTCATGCACATTTCGTTCAAAAAAAACTTGCTTTGGGATAAAAAAAACATCTGGATCGAAATTTAATGTTTTTATTTATATATTTATATTTATCTTTGTCAAAGTTGAGAAGAATATGCTAAACCCAAAATTAAAATTTTAATATTCTGACAAAGGAATCAAATAATATAACATTATACAAAAATAAAAAATGAAAACTTTGTTTTAAGTATTAAAAGTTGGCAATTTGTTTATATATATTTAGGGAAACAAATATATAGGAAATTTCATGTAGATCAGATAGCTGAGAAAAGAAGCATCATAAGCATCACTTTTAGGTTTCATGTCAGAATCTCTATCACACATTGCATGTAATGAACTATGAAGTGCCTGATGCCAAAATGTCAATGGGTCCATTGGCAAGCTCTCTTGCAAAGAATCATCCCCTCAAGCTTCAATCCTTACTAATTCCCTTTCTGTTTTAAGATAGATCCAGTTGTTTTTTTTCGTTTTGACATTACTTTCTATATTAATCTTTACCCAAGTAAAGAATGATCAAATATAATCATATTATATATATATATTTTGTAATTCTCGTATTACCACTTTTTTATCAAAAAATATAATCATGTATACATATGTTGATTGATTTTAATGATTAATCTAGAATTTATCTAATAATTTTTAACAACATTATTGATATATATATATATCATGGGATGTGAATGTAGTCAATATTAAGGTTTGATGCCCTAAATTAAAATTACATTGCTACTTTGAAATTCCCAAATTAAATTAAAAAAAAATCCATACTAATAAATAAAATTAAAATATGAATACAATATTAATGGTAAGAAGTAAGCAGTGGTAATGCTATGTAGGAAATAGAAGAACGTAGTTCCACGCGCCTTGGTAAAGAGTGGATAAAAACTGAAACAAATGAAAAAGGGAGCAGAGTGAGTCTGCTCTGTAGCAGCTTAAAGAGTAAAGAGTAAATACTCTGTATTCTTATTTAGATAATTTTTCCTTTGCATCGAATCTACGAAAACACTGCCAAATCATCAAACAGACAGATTCATCTCTCTCTTTGGTTTTTTTTTTTTTTTTTAAAAAAGATAACGGTGATCCTCAAGTTAAAGAAAATATTTAATGTAATATTTAAATTTAAATTTTTTTAATAAAAAATTAATTTTAAAAATTATTAATATATTTAAATTATAAATTTATTATAATACTTGCAAGCAAAGACGAAGAAAAAAATGTAAAGGAAGGCAAACAGTAATTTTAATGGAGAAAGAAAGCCAAAATAAAATTTTGATAAAATCAGATATCATAGAATAAGGGAGTTAAAATTTATGGCTTAAAAAGTTATTAAAGTTAATTATTTTAAAAATAAATGTTATATTAATTAATATAGTAATAATTTAATATAAATTTTTGAAATATAAATATTATATTATATGTTTTATTATAATTTAAAAAGCATTTAGGACATTAACTTTTTTATTAATTAAGCCATTACAAATTTTCATGGTGTTTTGAAGTTTTAAATACTAATTAAACAATAAGAGAAAAATCGAAGAGGAAACTCTTTCATAACCACCTGCTTCTGTCGTCATCATCTTGAATTTTCATAGTCTTTCCCTTTCCATTTATAGGATTTCTTCAATGGATGGAATTTCTTCTGCTGTCTTTCTTGCAAAAAATTCATCAATAAAATTAATTACTCTTATAAAATCAATCGAACACCCTTTATACAAAAAATAAAATTCCGATTTTCCTCCTTTTCAACTTGTTAGATTATTGCTATTATTATTACTGTTATTTTGAATGGCTGATGAATGTGGGACTTGACTGTGCAGGCATTGGTCCCTCTTTGCAATAAAAATAACACATTTTGTTTTTCACTTTGAAAAAAAAAAAAAAAAAAAAAAAAAGACAATGATTTTGGAACCGTTAAGTTGTTAGATCGCTTTCATCATTCACTCAGACAAACTACTCCTTCAGCTTACCCTTTATAGGACTTTGTTTTACCCATTTTGCCATTACTCTCTCTCTTAACACTTCCTCTCTCTCTCTCTTTCTCTCTGACACTTTCTATTTTTGGAAATCTATTTTGGATTTGTTATGTATGCACACCCATTTTTGCCACTTTGTCTTCTATGCTATTAGCTTTTTGGGTTTTATATGTATATATAAACTTCAACATTTGTCTTAACACACAGAAAAAAAATTGTCTCAAGGCAAATATCACTTTCTCTAGTGAGATGTTAGGACAGATGGTTGGCTGTGATAGGTTTGTTTCTTTGGTTAGGATTCAAGTTAAGACAGGGTGAGGCTGAGAGATAAGAGGCGTGGCTGTCATGGACAATGAAATAACGTTGGCAAAGCATTATCTTTATAAAAAAAGGTTAGAGTTAAATTTGATTTATTTGTTTAATTATTTTTAATGGTTAATATTTAATAAATTTAAAATTAAAATCATAGAACTTTCAATCTCTGTTTTTATTTTTATAGTGCAACCACCTTTATAAAACACCATTATCTTTTCCCACCTTTCAAGTTATGCCTTTGGCTTTTACTTATTGCTATTATATTTTGGATTTGGCTCCTTCTTTTATCTGCTGTCTCTAACCTCAGAAGGCATTTAGTTGGATATGATTATATATTAATTAATGATAAATTGTTATATACATGTATAATAAAATTTTTAAACTTTATATGCATGGTTAAGACGATGATATATTTTTTTTAAGTATATTAAAAAAGTAATATATTTTAATTTCTTAACTTTATTTGTAAAATAAAAAAATTTATTGACAATATATCAAATAATTTTTTTAATTAATTAATAGTAATAATTCATAATAAATAATTGTTATGACCCTCATATGGAATTTTTTTATAATTTTTATGTAATTTATATTCAATTATTTTGCTATTAAATAAAATTATATATAACAAGTATTTTATTTATGTTTTTGATTAATTAAAATTAAATTCAACCCCATGTATTTAGTTTTATATGGGAGGAATTTTGATTTAACAATTAGAAGGTGTTCGGTTTTGGAGAATCCATGCATTTTTTTTTCAGAATCTTACTATTGGATATTTGATTATAACATTTGGTTTAAGGTAATTTGATTTCAATGAAAAGTGACAGATTTTCAATAGTATTCAAAGTCCCAGAATAAAAAATTCATCTCTTCTTGTGGTATTCGAGGATCTTGAGGAAAAAATTGTGTTATTTCTAAATTTGACCTGAATAAAAAATTATGAAATAGTCGTTACTATTTTGAAAAATATATTTGAAAGTGACTACAAATCAATTGTAGATTCTACTACTAACAAATTTTTTTTATATTACAATTAATGGCATTTGGCATGAAAAACGCTTTAAATAATCATGTTTAATTTTTTTATGATTATTTAAGGTATTTTTTGACTAAAAACATCTTAAATAATTCCTTTCAAAAATTGATTAACATTATTTAAGGTATTTTCTGATCAAAAATATCTTAAATAATCCAAAAAAAAAAAAATCTCATAAGTATTCCTAAAAAATAAATGCTAAAAAAAGAAATTGAACCTACGACCTTATAATTAATAACCACATCCTCTAACCTACTAAGCTATTTTAATTTTTTATTTTTTATCTCTTAAATTTTATAAGTACTAAAAATACTTTAAATAATCTTCTTAAAAAAAATTAAAGTACTGGAAGAAAAAGTCAAACTTATGACCTTATTATTAATAATCATATACTTTAACCGACTGAGCTACTATAATTTTTTATGATTTATCTTTTAAATCTTATAAGTAATGAAATAGATTATTTAAGACATTTTTAGTAAAAAATATCTTAAATAATACGGTCCAAAAAATTAAAAAATATTATTTATGGCATTCTTTTACCAAAAACACTTTAAATAATGTCATTTAAAAAATTTTAAAAGATTATTTAAGGCATTTTAGGATAAAAATGCCTTAAATAATTT